ATGATATCGGTATCGGACATAAAAAAGGCTATCATGCATCTCGTATAGATACTGTGATAAAATATTTGTCTAATTTAAGAGATTCCTGAGTGTTGTTCCACCATTAAGAGACAAAATGGACATGTAGTTTTTTCCACTTCCCACAGGTATATCAACGGATTCCTGTGAAAAACCTAAACTCGTGTTTCAAAGCTATTCATGTGAGCATAAGTAACAAGGTACTTTGTTAAGGATGGCTTGGAGATAAAAGAGAAAACAGACTTGTTCCCTTTGAGTGTTAAGTTTTAGCCATTATACCACTTATTTCAAAATGATGGTTGCTGAAACTGTCCCCAGTAATACTTGAAAGGGAGAACTGTGAGCATGAAGGGGCTTGAGAGTATTGGCAGTTACATAACAGGAGCTGCATCCAAAAACAAATTTGTGGCACTTTCACTCCTCCTTCGTGCAGCAAATGGTCAGGTTTATGGAGCACAAAGTATAATTAGGGTTTGGACTTAACTATTAAATAAACGAACAGGATAACTACCAATCTGAGACCGTTTTGACTGCAGCACAATGAATGATTTCCAAGAAAGGCTCTCAGAAAAGTGCGTGTTTGTCTGAACTCGTCACATCTCCCAGATTTTTGCCTCACTTTTGAATGCTGGCATTAAGAAATGGCGTAAATACTTCTAGCTTGTGATATGGTCGAGCTGCAGACTGTATATTTTGTTTCAATTTTAGGATAACACAACCCTTATTTCCATCATCCATAAATCTACACATTACTAAATTAAATGTTTGTTTCTTTTTCCCTTTAAAACATCAGATAATGCTAAAAAATGTCCATTATAATTTGTGTGCTCTAGACAACTTTCCAATTGTTCATTTTTCCTCTTTTTTTTTTTTTTAAATGACTTATTGTCCAAAATCTAAAAGATTTTTTTATTCATTTTCATGAAAATTAATGCACCCATTTGAGAAGATTGTACCAGCAGACTTTTGCTCGCCAGTCATTATTTAGTAATCAGAACACTGTCTTTCAAGCAAATGCTAAATACAATGTTGCAGCTCCAGTCAGTAATAAACTTAATAAACTGCAGTCAACATTGTCCCTTTATTGCCTTGTTGACAATAATTCCAGGTTAGAACAAACAGTAGAGTCATTTATAATTCTGAGTGATTTATTACACAGATTTTAATGAATACACATTTATTAAGAGACTGAATGCAAATAATGCAAACTCCTGACATTAGGTAAGAAAATTAACGTCTTATCATTGCTCAAACAATAGTGTGCAGGAAACTTAAGATGTAATCATATCATCCAGTTTAGGCAGAGAAGGCTGATTCAGAGGTCTTTGTGATGACATTTCTCATTTTGTGAAGCGTCATAGTCATATTAAATTAGACATTAGGCTACGTCCACACGTACCCGGGTATTTTTGAAAACGCAGATTTTTCTATGCGTTTGCACCTTTCGTCCACACGTAAACGGCGTTTTTGGTCACTGAAAACGGAGATTTTTAAAAACTCCGGCCAGGGTGGATATTTTTTGAAAACTCCGTTTTTGCATTTACGTGTGGACAGAAAAACGGAGAAAACGCAGCGTCAAAGGTGTGCGCCTTTTTTGACGTCACACTGTGCGCCACGTTATTGTTTCGGTGAAATGAATTTCTACAATACTGTTAATTTACTCTCTGCAGTGTTTAAATGCTTACATATACACACACGTTACTGTCCCTCCACACATACGACTCGGTTCTGCTTCTATGCCCCAGCTTTGTTTACTATTTTCCCACCGAGGCTTCTAGACTTCTGATTGGCCAACATTTCTCACGGTTAGGAATATTCGCCACCTGTTGCTTTGGCATGTTCCTAGCAGCGTTTTCCTTCATTTCTGCCTTTACGTGTGGACATTTTCTTACCTAATGTCAGGAGTTTGCATTATTTGCATTCAGTCTCTTAATAAATGTGTATTCATTAAAATCTGTGTAATAAATCACTCAGAATTATAAATGACTCTACTGTTTGTTCTAACCTGGAATTATTGTCAACAAGGCAATAAAGGGACAATGTTGACTGCAGTTTATTAAGTTTATTACTGACTGGAGCTGCAACATTGTATTTAGCATTTGCTTGAAAGACAGTGTTCTGATTACTAAATAATGACTGGCGAGCAAAAGTCTGCTGGTACAATCTTCTCAAATGGGTGCATTAATTTTCATGAAAATGAATAAAAAAATCTTTTAGATTTTGGACAATAAGTCATGTAAAAAAAAAAAAAAAGAGGAAAAATGAACAATTGGAAAGTTGTCTAGAGCACACAAATTATAATGGACATTTTTTAGCATTATCTGATGTTTTAAAGGGAAAAAGAAACAAACATTTAATTTAGTAATGTGTAGATTTATGGATGATGGAAATAAGGGTTGGGTTATCCTAAAATTGAAACAAAATATACAGTCTGCAGCTCGACCATATCACAAGCTAGAAGTATTTACGCCATTTCTTAATGCCAGCATTCAAAAGTGAGGCAAAAATCTGGGAGATGTGACGAGTTCAGACAAACACGCACTTTTCTGAGAGCCTTTCTTGGAAATCATTCATTGTGCTGCAGTCAAAACGGTCTCAGATTGGTAGTTATCCTGTTCGTTTATTTAATAGTTAAGTCCAAACCCTAATTATACTTTGTGCTCCATAAACCTGACCATTTGCTGCACGAAGGAGGAGTGAAAGTGCCACAAATTTGTTTTTGGATGCAGCTCCTGTTATGTAACTGCCAATACTCTCAAGCCCCTTCATGCTCACAGTTCTCCCTTTCAAGTATTACTGGGGACAGTTTCAGCAACCATCATTTTGAAATAAGTGGTATAATGGCTAAAACTTAACACTCAAAGGGAACAAGTCTGTTTTCTCTTTTATCTCCAAGCCATCCTTAACAAAGTACCTTGTTACTTATGCTCACATGAATAGCTTTGAAACACGAGTTTAGGTTTTTCACAGGAATCCGTTGATATACCTGTGGGAAGTGGAAAAAACTACATGTCCATTTTGTCTCTTAATGGTGGAACAACACTCAGGAATCTCTTAAATTAGACAAATATTTTATCACAGTTGATCTTATACAAGCATGTAGCTTTTTTTATGTCCGATACCGATATCATAAATTTGGATATCGGCCGATACCAATATGAATCCGATATAGTGTGTTTTTTAATAAATAAAACTGTTTTTTTAATATCTTGCTGCATTTTGTATAAGTTCAACTCAAGTTTAAAAAAAACAACTAAAGCTATTCTGTTATACCTGTATGTAAAAAAACGCACCCAAAATATTTCATAGTTCAGCAATACTGATCAATCTAATAAACTTAAACCTACGTCTATCCTCCCTATTCTGGTATTTTAAAGAGTAAGCAACCTAACTAATAGGGTTCAAACTCCCAGCAAAAAAAAAAAAAAAAATAGGGAACCACCCCCAACCTCATGATGCTTAATCGACGTAATCAACTTTAATTTGATGCAGTGTGAAAAAAAATGCACAGAAATAAATTATTTTTCAAGAATAATTAAATAGATTCAACATCTTTCTTCAACAGAACTTGCAGACTGCACAGATGGTACCTTCCCAAAGGAAAAAGTACTATAGCTTACTAGGGTATATTAGACTTAACAGTTACTATATACAGTAATGGACTTCTATACATTTTACATCAGATTAAAACTTTGGGTGTAAGATTCAGATAATTATTTATTAAAAGCTGACATTTTAAATGAGAATAAGAAAGAAAAGTATGTCTTTGTGCCCCCTTTTCCCTGTTCATGCCCTATCGGCCCTTTGCTAGATCCGCCCCTGCACAGTTACCAGCCGTCAGCTACGTAGAAAAAGATCCTGGTGTAGAAAGTAATATTAAATAAATTCTAACAACAGCTTATCAAGCTTAAATGTGCTGCTGTTGTTCAGCCACTGGTTTCCTCTTTCTGGCGCGAAGTTGGCGATAAACAAACAAGGGAGACAGACTCGCGACAGAAAAGCCGATCAGCTGATCATTAATCAGTTTCATCATTGAAGTAGCAGCAGGAGAGGGAGGGGGAGAGAAGAGGCAGTCGCTCCATATATCGGTTGTTAAGCTTAACACTGGAATGCTTTACAAACACTCAGAGATGAACTTACACACTTGCTTTACTTCTCTCGGGGATAACTTTCTCGGAGATGAAATGGTCGTGAGGCTACAAATACTCAACCAGACCGCCGACAGGTCTTGCACGCCACAGCCGCTCTATCACGTGACGCATTTTCCTCCGATGTGCTAAGATTATGAGCCGAGTTACGCCATGTCGCAAGTTTTGTGAGGTGCTTTTTTGATATTTAATGGATCGGATTACCTTTTTTAATTCTCTCCGATATCGGATCCAGTAATTTAGGTCAGTATCGGATCGATACCTAATATCGGATCGGTCCATCTCTAGTTTATATATAGTAAAACTTTCTTCTTTTTTTTTTAAACAGTAGTGGACTTTATCTATCCAAAAGGGGCAAGGCAGAGGTTGTTTCAAAAAGTGCTTTTCTATGTAAAGAGAATAGATTAAACATATATAATACACATATAATGTGTACTGTACGCTCACCCCCAACCAGTCAAGGCCCTCTCTAACCTAGTTACGCAAGACCGATCTTGTTAAAAGGGAGTTTTTCCTTTCCACTGTCGCCAAGTGCTTGCTCATAGAACGTCATCCGATTTTTTCTGTGTGACTGTAGGGTTTTTACCTTAAAGTATACAATGCCTTGAGGCGACTGCTGTTGTGATCTGGTGCTATATTAATTAAATTGAACTAAACAATTTTTCAGGCATTTAGACCAGAAATATTTACACTGAAGTTTTGACACCTGTGGGGGCTGAGTGACTGATGTGAGGAGAAGGATCAGGCTCGGTAAGGTATTTTGGTCTGCCTTCAACCACCTACCCAAAAAACAGCTCAAGTAGAGAGATGTGGCACCCAGGTGTCCACTCTTACCTGTGAGATCTATGTCTGCCTTCATGCTCGAGTCCATTTCCGTGAAGATCTCCTGAAAGTGATCACTGACGGCTGCCAGGACGGCTCTGTGCGCTAAGAAGGAACGCCCGCTCGTCCGCAGGGTAATGTCACAGAACAGGCCTGCCTCACGCTGACTCCTCAGCTTGCTCAGCATGTCGGAGCTGTGTGACACTACTGTCTTTGTGACACATCCTCTGCCACCCGGCTCCTACGAGGCACAGACAAAAACGAAAAAGACAGATCGAAATACTTTATTATGGGAGTATGCTGTGTGTGTGTGTGTGTGTGTGTGTGTGTGTGTGTGTGTGTGTGTGAGAAAGCACTTCCAGGAGACAAGCGTGAGAGTAAGTGGGAATGAGTTAGAAGGTGTGAATTAAAATGTGTGAGATGCTGAAAAAGAAGGCCGTCTCCATAAAATTGAAGAGGCGCTTAAAGTTTGATGAGAAGAAACAAGGCTCCGGGATAGCGTTTGCTGTCAGCTCCAGTGTACACTCACCTCCGATTTCTTGTTGTGCTGACACTCTGGACAGCTGAGGACAAAGTCTCTGATCTCGAAGTACATCCCTGTGAAGAAAGCAGTTGTTCAAACATCAGAACATGAGGTAACAAAAGACAGGAAAGATTTTGGGCTGGATCGGGCTAATCGTTTTAAAGGTGTCACAACTGTCTCGACACTTGGTAATGCCTCACTAAAAAGAACAGCAAGGGGTGTGATTAACACCTATTGTTCATGTCTGAATAAGTCTCACAATCTTTGACTGATTCAACCACTTGTGCATATGTGAGTCTGTTTCAAGTATCCCTACACTTACAATTGGAATGCTTAAATCTCTGCTGGTGTATAGATAACATCATTAGTAGGCAGTTATAAGATTAATATGCATTTGTAGCAGTCTACACATGACTCGCATGCTTTACCAAGACACTTAGAAGACAAAAGTGATGTTCATACCTTCCCACCAGTAGTTTTCAGCCACGCATTTGTAGGTCTCTTCCAGTGAGAGGTGGCGTTGGCCCGGTCGCCTTATGTGGAAAGTGGAGATTGCCTCATGTCTTCGGTCCTCATTCAAAACCTCCCGGTAGTTGATGAAGCCCCTTTCCAGTTTCTTTCGATAAAGCAGCCCGTCTATCACCTCAAAGTTGGGGGACCACCGTGCGGTGGACCCACGCCCACTCGAGCACCCCGCTGACTCCTTCTGCCGGGATTGCTTTCTATCTCCATCCGACCAGGGCTTGGACGGGCAACACGTCTCTGCGTTTTCGTATTGGGCGTTGGTGTGAGAACAGTCACAAGCCATTTTTTCTTAAAAAAAAAAAGAGGATTTATATTCCAATAAAAAGATACAACTTTGTAGTCTCAGAAGGACTACCCCCACCACCACCTTTCTGGATCGCCCTCTTACGAAACTTTACCCAACGACCTGAAACGAAGTCCACGTGGATGAGGCGATAAAGGACGACAGAGGCACGAAAACACGCAGCTGAAAAGTCTGACACAATGTAGTGCACCACACAGAGTAAATTCTCAATAACTAGCGCCTCTCATTGTGGCTTGAAAAGCAGAAGAAAAGTCAGACGGGAATCAGCCGCATTTCCCTGCCCCTGCTTTGTATCCTTGCTGTCAATGAGAGCATCACTTCTCTCTATCCAAACATCCCTAAATATGCAATAGTTACACTTCCTCCTTGGGACACGTTTGGTCAAATTTCTTAGCAATTTCTCGGTTTCGACTGTCGGGCAACCAGGTTCTTTTTTAATATCCCTCCAAATGTGGATAATAACCCAGGAGAGTATCGCGCCAACAACGCCAAGCCAAGTGATGTAAAGTCACCACAACGACCGCGTAAACAGGCTTCACCGTCAACCCCTCGCCGGCAGTCCGTCTTCCATCTGTCTCAGAGGTCGGGAGTGGCCTCTGGGGGTGGATGACGGCGGGCAGCCTCACCTCTGGCGTTAACTTGTGATTTCTTTTCGCCAACTCGAGTCGGAAGCAACATGATGACGCAGCTATCAGCTCAGCATCGCGACTTGGACGACCTAAAAGCGAGGCTGGTCGCCCCGACCAGCTCGAAAATGTTGCAATAATCACCGCCGGACCCCTTCAAAAGCGAGTCAACAAGCTCCGGTCAGACACCCGACATAGTTCACCCCCCTTCAGCCGCCACAACGCCGCTCTAGTAGTCAAATAGTCCAATTTTTCAAACTCGTAACCTTCTGTTTGTTGCTAATCAGCAGACTAACCGAGCGAAGGGCTCCCCGCCTTCACACAAAGGCTATTAGCAGAAGCTTTAAAGAGCTTCGCCCGAGCCAATTGCGATTGGCTGCTGCGGCTGTCACTCAAACAGCCAGTTTTCTTCCATTTGCAGTAAGCTAGGTTGTTCGCTCACGATTCCAGTGTACCAGTATTTGCTTCACTTGCTGCAAACACAAGTGAAACACGATATAGCCAGTGTGTCGTATCCATTAACGGAATACACACTGTTTCATGTGGCGACTGTTCAATATTTCCCTCCCCAGAATAAGTTACAGCTACAACAGATTTACTCACATTTCAAAACGTTAGCCACATTTCATCACCTCAGTGTCTGTTACAAATATTGTATCCGCATATTAATTTTGTAAACGTTTGGGTTACATTTCCAGACTTTAATAAAATGTAAAAATTAAATAACAATAAAATACATCAACCAGGCCCATGTCCAAAACATGTTTATTACTAAATTTTGATGACAACATCAACAATGACAAGGGCAACAGAAAAAGGCGGCTATTTCCTTAAAAATGTAAATCATAATCATGGAAAGGTGATGAAATAATGTAGATTTTAGGAGAAAAAAACAACAACATCAACTTTTTTCATAAGGCAAAAACTGATGATTAATTAATTTTTTTTAAAAATAAGGCTGGATTACACTTCTGAAAAGATGTCCACATGCCCTTACCAGATGAATTTACAGTTGGGACCATAATTTGTTGTGGCAAGTTTTAGTGAACTAGTTTCATCCCTGTACAGTTTGTGCAGACTTTCAATTTTAATTCAGCTGGGTTTACAATCAGAATCAGAATCAGAATACTTTATTGATCCCTGGGGGAAATTATTTTTTTGTTACAGTGCTCCATTATAAACCAACACTAACAAGACAGGCAATACGCTAACTAAGAATAGTACAATATATACATATATATAATATATACATAAGTCACTCATTAATAAATAGCTGGAAAAGAAACATGTGTAGTTGTAGCAGTAACCAGTGTGTTAAGTGGATGCGTTGTACAGGGAGATGGCCACAGGCAGGAAAGATTTCCTGTGTCGTTCAGTGGTGCTTTTCGGTAATCTCAGTCTCTCACTGAACGTGCTCCTGTGACTGACCAGCATGTCATGGAGTGGGTGGGAGGTGTTATCCAACATTGTCTTTATCTTGGACAGCATCCGCCTCTCCGACACCACCTTGAGGGAGTCCAGCTCCATCCCCACAACATTACTGGCCTTACGATTAGTTTATTGAGTCTGTTGGCATCTGCACCCTCAGCCTGCTCCCCCAGCATGCAACAGCATAGAGGATCGCACTGGCCACAACAGACTCATAGAAAATCCTCAGCATTTTCTGGCAGATGTTGAAGGACCTCAGTCGCCTCAAAAAATAGAGACGACTCTGGCCCTTCCTGTAAAGTGCTGTGGTGTTTTTAGCCCAGTCCAGTTTATTGTCAATGTGTACTCCAAGGTATTTATAGTCCTCCACAATGTCAACACTGACCCCCTGGATTGAAACAGGGGTCAAGTGTTTCCTGGTCTTCCTGAAGTCCACTATCAAGGATTATATCAAGGATTTTGCATTAAATGTTTAGGAATTTTTATACACGTTTTTATGTTTATTTTCAGAGGCCCAAATGGACAAAATAGTAAAGCTTTAAATATAATGATTGTTTTTAATACTTGGATGAAAATAATGTGGAATCACCCTTATGAAGTCTAGAATCATCACCGAATGGTATAAGTTTCTTTTCGTCAGATGCTCTGCCTTCAGTTTAGTCTACAGTACCGGTAACTAGAAATCATGCTCAGATGATTGGTTTGGTCATTGAACAATATGTCCTTTCTTTTACTTTGCGTTGGGTCTTTATCCATTAGCACTGTGAAGCATTTTTCAGTCAGTTTTGCAAAACATGGCTGAATCTGAGCACAGAGTACAGCCCAGTACACTTCAGAATTCACCCTGGCACTTCTATCAGCAGTGACATAATGAGTAAGAACTGCTGACCTGGTTCCACTGACCACTATACACACCCATACCATAGCACTTTCTCACCACGCTCCATACATTTCAATCTGGTACAGTCTAATCTTGCTGACATCTGTCTAAAGATTTTTTTCCAGCACTCTTTTATATGTTTCTGACAAAGCCTAAACCTAAACTCTCTGTATTTCCATTCATGAAGGCGTCTCTTGATTGTCGACCTTGACAGTGGTATGCCTGAATCCTTGAGAGTCTTCTCGGCTTGATTAGATGTTGTGAAAAAAAATTTTCCATTCCAGCGAACACATTTTTTTCATTCCACACTTTAATTCTCTTCTGTGGTATTCCAGGACATTTGGTGCTGCTAAGTTAGCCAGTACATTCCTCCTGTTGATTTGGCCACCCCTAAAGGTTTTGCTGTCTCTTCGATAGGTTTATTTTGTTTGTTTAGCCTAATGATGGCCTCCCTCATATGCACTGACATTCCTTTGGGCCTCATGATTAGAATTACAGAGAAAAAAATCAACTTCAGATATTAAATCTTCATTTGGCATGAAATTAATGACGGAACAGCAAGTGTTCAACTACTTTTCAGCCTCTGAAAATGGGAGACTGTGTATAAAAACGACTTTATGAAAACCTCTTGAATTAAAGCTAAGCTAAGCTGTAAAGTCTGCACTTCAGTCATATGTTGACTGGTTGAGTGCAAAGCCAGTGTGGTGGTGTAAAGAAGCAAATCTACAAAAAAAAATCTCTTCATCCAACAAATTATGGATCTGACTGTAAAAGTCTGAAATGATGATTAATAATGCTACAGCAATCTGGAAACAAAAGTACATCCTATGGAAATTGTTTTTTTTTTGTTATTTGACTTGGTTCAAGCTCATATTTTAACCACTTTTATCCACAGCAATGCTTGAAGCCTGGGTTGCTTTTTTACTTTGGGTCATTATCCATTTGAACTGTGAAGTATTTTCCAATCAGTTTTGCAAAATGTGGTTGAATCTGAGCACAAAGTATAGCCTTGTAGACACAATTGCTTTAAAATAGTGTCTACACAACGTATAATATACTTTATCACAACCACAGGGATTTTTTTGTAATATTTAAAAAAGTAATTGGCCTCTAATTCAGTAGAAATGATGTCTTGTATAGTTGCCCATCACTCTCTGACATAGGCTTACTGGAAATTTTGGCCACTCTTTAATTCACAGTTTCTTCAGTTGCAAAATGTTTGAGGGTATTCCTGGATGGACGCGCTGCCTCGTCCAAATTCAACCACAACATTTCATTGTGTTCCAGTCCATATTCCTCAGTTTCCTCTATACGTCATAGCTTGGTGTATTTGTAAGTGTGTTTAGGTTCATCATTCTGTTAAAAAGCCCACTTGTGGTTCAACCTCAAGTTTCACACAAAGAATTTAACGTGTTCTTTCAGATCATTTCACTGTGAGCTGCCCAGTCGTCAAGGCAGGCAAACAAACCACATTTCCAACATCATCCTTCACAGTCGGCATGTGGCCCGCCTGAAACACTGTCTTTGGTCTGCGCCTGTCATGTCTACTTCTACTCTGGCGAGATGTCTTTGTCCACAGCACATGACTCCACAAAGACATGTCTTTGCTTATATTTTGACAATTTGTAGTTTTGCACTGAGGTTTTACAGACAGAAAATGTTTATTCCAATCATTCAGGTAAAATTTGTGCAATATCCGATTATAGAGCCATGCACTGTGAAAACCAGCAGTTGCAAAAATGACCTGCAGATTCCAGTGTTACATTTTGGCTCTTGACATGTTTTGCAGTCTGCTGCTGGGCGGATCTTTCCACAGGTTTGGGTCCCACTTGGCAGTAGTTAGAATTTAAGCCACTTGTTGATGATTTTCTTTACAATGTGCTGCTATTAGCATTACAGGTAAATCTTTAACAAGTACACACAAATTCCACGTTGTCACATATTGTACTCTTTTGTCATTACTCTTTTTGATAAAGACAATCAACCTATTACTGTTACTTTCAATATGGTTGTCAACTTTGGTAAAAAGGCATATTTTTTAAAAACAAAAATAACTAGACTTATTTATAAATTATCTTGGTGTTAAATTCTGAATGTTTGATTGTCTCGATCATGACCTTAAAAGTCAGAAATTACTATGAAGCTTTTTTATAATGCATATACACTTTAAAAAAAGCTGTCAACATGAGTGCAACATGTCTTGGGTGTTTTAGCCAAATCTCCTGGATGAACTGACCCTTCTTTCTTACCCACTTCTCACGGATCAAAGAAGCTTGATGTTCATGCTGGCTCAGGATTTAAAATGATGCCTACTATTCAGAAGACCGGCGGTTGAGTCCTTAACTATTTTTCCAATCTGTGTATCTACAAGTGTCTTTGGGCAAGATCCTTAATGCTTAATTGCCCCAGATGTGTTCATGAAAATAAGTCTATTCATGACTAAACTGGGTGAAGAGAGAACATGGAGAAGATGTTAAGTTGACTGGATGGAAAAGCTACACTGACAAAGGATGTTGTGAAGGACGACATGTGACAGGGGGATGCTAAAGACAGGGTGAGACGGAGGGAGATGATCCGCTGTGGCGACCCCTAAGGGAGCAAGAATAAGGAGGACGTCACATTACTGCTGGGAAACTCAGCTTGTGGTTCAGTGTTGGCTAACTAGCTTGTTATTTAGATTAGTTACGTATAAGCTTATACATTAATCAGATTCTTGGCAGGATGGTGGTGCAGTGTTAGCACAGTTCTTCAAGAAAAGTTTGAACCTTCGCATCCAAAGTTCAAAGACATGCGTGTCAGGTTAATTGGTAATTCTGAAGCATTTGTAGGTGTGCATATAAATCAGTGAGTGTCTCTGTGTGGTAGCTTTTCCAGCTACTACCCTGCCTCCCCTAGGCTAATGGTTAAAAAATGTATGGATGGGTGGATGGTTAGACAGCTGCATGAATTGACAGGGTGTTCCGGCATTGGATAACTGAGCCAAGGGTAAAGGGATTCATGCATGTAAGTAAAAAACATTGAGACA